TCTGAGGTCAAGCATTGTCTACAAAACGTTAAAAGTAGTACTTCATATTAGACTTTAATGAGTAACTATCCATATCATAATCTTATGATAACTTCTAAAGGAACAATGGAAGATGTATAATTAACAAGGTAATGGGCAATGGAAAAAACAGATTAATCCAAAAAAAGGCTATATAAAGAGACAGATGGGCGAAGTGATCATAAAATAGATGGAACAAATAGAAAGCAAATAGTAAGATTGTAATTATAAACCCATATACATCAGTAAGATTACACTAAACAATTTCTAGTTGAGATCATTATTTTCACATTGAATTAAAAACATATGTTCCTTTTAATAAATAATTACAAAGCTAGCACACATGTACCCACTATTCAGATAAATAAATTTTAAATTACCAGCACTTCAGAAACCCATATTGCCTCTATCCTGCATCATAAACTTCCCCCTAAAATAGCATTTGTGGTATAATTTCCTTGTTTTATTCCTTAGAGTTACCATCTAGCTCTGAATCCCAAAATAATGTATTTTATTTTATGGCTATTTTTGATGTTCATTTAAATGGAATCATACTATTCTTTTGTGTCTGCTTTTCAATAATGCTTTGGTGGGAATAACTCATACTGTTGGCATGTTACTGCAGTTCCTTCACTTTAATTAATGCATAACTTTCCACTGTATGGATTTACCAGAATTTCCTTTTCAACTATAGACAGACATTTTTTTTCCTATTTGGCTATTATGGAGAATGCTAATTAATATACATACATCCTATCACACACATATACCTGTCTCTACCTAGGGTATATAGCAAGGACTGGGACTGCCAGGTCAAAGGAGATCCAGATCTTCAATACTTCTAGATAATGCCATTTTTTTCAAGAATACTATACGAATTTAGTCAACCAACAACAAAATATTCAATAAAAACAATTCCTTTTATTTCAAAACCTCACCAATACCCGGTATTGCCAGATTTTTAAATGTTTTATTTTTCCTTACCTGATATGAAATGATATCTCATTGTGGTTTTAATTTGCATTTCCCTGATTACTAACGAAGATGAACGCTTTTTCTTATGTTTATTGGCCATTTGGAATTCCTCTTTTGTGAAGTGAAGTGGACGTACAAGTCTTTTGCCCATTTTTCATTTGTATTATCTGGCTTTTACTCATTGATTTGTTGAAGTTCTTTATGTATGTTCTGGGTACTAGTCCTCTACAGGTTATATGTGCTGCCAGTATCTTCTCCCACTCGATGGCCTGTCTTCTCACTATCTTTATAGTTCCTTTTGAGAAAAGAAGTTTCTAAATTTAATGTGATAAAACAGACCAATTTTTCTTTTATGGCAAGGGCATTTGTTGTCTTAAGAAATCTTTCCCTATCCAAGTTTGTGAAGACATTCTATATTCTAAAAGCTTTATAATTTTCCTTTAGATATTTAGTTCCTTAATCCACACGAGATTTTTTTTGTACAGCATGACATGGGGTCTAATTTCATATTGTCCCGAACATAAACAGCAAATTAAGACGGCACCATTTACCGAAAGTCATACGATCTCCATCGCGTATCACATCATGTACATATTATGCATGGGTTTCTGAACTCTGTTACAATGATTTGTTGTTTGTCTAATACTTGCCAATATCACATTATCCTATTACTGTAGCTTTGTAATTTTCTGATTTCTGATGATGAATTCCCTCCATTTTGTTTCTCAACTTAAAGGGACTCTTGGCCTCTTAACCCATTGCATTTACATATACATTTTAGAATCAAAGAAGCTTACTCAGTTTCATGAAATTACACACTAGGATACCGATTGAATTGTACTCTACAAAATTAACTTGAATAAAAGTGAGAACATTTTACAATACTGCTTTGTCCAAACCATAAACATAGTACATCTTCTGTCCATTTAATTCTTCTTTAATATCTCTCAATGTTTTATGATTTTCTTCAGAGTTATTGCATACCTTGTTAAATGTATTCCTAGGTACTTGATGTATTTTGGTGCTGCTGTAATGGTATAGCTTTTTT